GGGATTTCTCCCTCCAGCAGATCAACTCGGTGTGCGACGAGCTGCACATCTACTGCTCCCGGTGCACCGGGGACCAGCTGGAGATCCTCAAAGTCATGGGGATCCTCCCGTTCTCCGCGCCGTCCTGCGGACTCATCACCAAAACGGACGCGGAGCGCCTCTGCAACGCCCTGGTCTACGTAGGCACCTACCCGCCGCACTGCAAGAAGGAGTTCCCGGGCTCCCTGGAGCTGGAGCTCACGGAGAAAAGCTTCAAGATATACCACGAGTGTTTCGGAAAGTGCAAGGGCCTCTTCGTCCCGGAGCTATACACCAGCCCCAACGCAGCGTGCATCCAGTGCATAGACTGCAGACTCATGTACCCCACACATAAGTTTGTGGTGCACAGTCACAAATCGCTGGAGAACAGGACTTGCCACTGGGGCTTCGACTCCGCCAACTGGAGGACATACCTCCTCCTGGGCCAGGATTACACGGGGAAAGAGGAGCAGGCGCGTCTGGAGCGGCACTTGGACGAGATTAAGGAGAAATTTGACTTCGCAAACAAATATAAGAGGAAAGCGTCCAGGGTGAGTTTGGAGTATTTGGTTACAACAATTGATCAACTGCAATGCCTGTATTTGTTACACTGTTGACACAACAAATATGACACTGTGTTGAAAGTGTTTTTTTCTCCTCTCTGTCGTTCTTCTGCCTCGTGTTTTCTCGCAAATCAACCCGCTGCTATCTTAAACATGTCAATATCTAGTATTGGTGTTTTAGTGCGAGTCCCAGCCATGGGAGATTTGTTCCTAGATGTGTTGACCCTTTCACATGTACTTACTGATTGCAGTAAAACCATTAGGTGCGTGTGAAAACAAGCCCGAGGGCGTTTACTGCCTAATGACGGTGTCCATACTAATGACGTTGTCCATACTGTAAATACAATCACATTTACAGATTTGCGATATATTTGCGCATGTTATGTCGAGTCGAGGGGATCATTAGGGAATTGTATTGAGTTTGGGTTAAACCTCCCCGCTGTCCAGCACTGCGCGTCCCACGACCCCCTTTCCAGGATCTCAATTCGCACTTTACGGTGTGTTGTGGCCCAATGCCTGTTGGTGAAATATGCACTGGGTCCGGCCCCGTTATCTCAGGTACGTGAAGGTGCATGTGTCATTAATCCCGGGGCTCATGCGTAATGGCTTGCTGCTGAGTACCCGGGGGTTCCCATGGGGGTCGTCAGCGCTGCTCGGTTTATATTAAGGTTTGGATGATGTGTGAATTGGTGTGTCTGCTTTGAGAGGCCGTTGCTGTCTGCGACATACAGCGGACGCCAAGTCTGAAAGTACTGTCGACCGGTAGTTAAACTAACGAGCAACAGGAACAGATCAAGTATGACTTTATTCAGAGCACCTGCATTCCGCTGCGAAGACTACAAGCAGGGGACAGTTCGGCATTTAACACAGCCTTCTGCTTTATTGGGTGGATTCCTTCATCCCTACGGTGGCCGCCGGTGATCAGATGAGCCGGTTGGGAAGCTGGTTGGGATGCTGGTCAGACGTGAAGCAGAGCCTCCATGTCTCATCTCGTGCCACCCAGAACGGTGGGCCCTCTGTCACCTCACCCTGTATTATTAGATGGTTTTGTTTTTACGTTGGTGGCCAGGCTATAGCCTGGCAATGCCGATATACAACACACACAAACACAGAGCCCTGATTGTAAGTCCAACGGGGGGATTAAGTCTGTGCTTTGGGGTGGGCAAGCAGGCGAGCAGAGGCTCCTCTCTTCCTCCAACTAAGACTGATAAAAGAGCCTCCGTCCAGGACTGAAGAGCAAAGCTCGGCCATTTGCATGAACTGTTAGACGTGAATAGAGTTGATGGAGCAGGGATGGGAGTATTGTGGTGGAAACATAATATGATCCCAACAAAGAGGAGCATTCACAGACACCCATCCCCCGACACACACACGCACACACACACACACACACACACACACACCATTTCTCCCTTCCCCCAGTCACCTACTCCTGTGCCCCTGACGGCATGAAAAGAGGATGAAAGGGGAGTGTGCATAGTGACATACTTTTTGGTGGCCATACAAACAATGTCAAAGTGTTTACCAACAGAGCTCTCTGGCTTGGCTCTCCGTCCGCCAGTGTTTCAGATAGGCCTTTGGCCCTCATCTGTATGTAGGCTTGAGTGGGCAAAACCAGAAGGACCCCAGAAAGACCCTCTTCTGTTTTCATATGGGCTTGAAAGGGGACCCGGGCAGCAAATGCTTGGTGAACGCATCGCTAACGAGAGAAAATGTGCACAATAGTGAATTATGGAAATGTCCCTTTTTCTAAGTCTCCCATTGTCAGCACATTTAACCGGAGGTGTTACTTCGAGGTGTGTTTCAAAGTCGCAAGTGTCAGACCGGGCGGGACCGTTTCTTTGCTTTTAATGTGGAGCTCTGCAACACATCACTTTTGTAACGTGTTTACAGTGTCGCTCGCTGAGAGGAAGGAGTGCAGTGAGGGCTCGTCAATGTAGCATGCAGCCGTCTCACAGTCAGACACAGGAAGTCAGCTTGAAGGACTTCCTGTCATCTGAGACACACAACTCCTCTGAGGTCACAGGCTCCTCTACTGAAAACACAAACACACCCTAAGACAACTGGATATGACCCAACTTCACGGTACACCTTCCCTATTGCTGCCTGCTTCTCTATAAAATGCAGTGTGGAGATTTGTGGTAAAAGAGCAGTGTGGTTTTGAATGAGTTGTGCCGTCGGTGGCTGTGGGAGTGCAAACAGGCCGTGAGTGAGTGAGTGAGTGAGTGAGTCAGCTCGGGAGTTTAAAGTTTACAAGTTGGGTGTGGAGCAGTAGGGCAGATCTCTACGTTCACCGTGCCAACGTTGGCTTGCCTCTACTATGGTTTCTGGTTGGCACACATGTGGGTGGTAAACTTAATCAGTGGCTTTCCACATCAGGATGTTTAGATAAGGATGGTGGCCACAGATTTGGAGCTGGCAAGGTTTTATTTTACCTCAAGACCATGTGATTTAGAAACGCCTCATCTGTTGGAAGGAGATATGAACGAGAGGGAGGGAGGGAGGGAGGGAGAGAGCGAGAGGGAGGGAGGCAGTGGGAGAGTGCCACCAGTTAAAGCATAGCCTAGTTTATGAACGACCGGTGTGTGTTTCCATTAATGACCAGGATTTTTTAAAGATGGAACACAAAAAACATGAATATGTATTGCCCTATAGAACCTACATTCAGCTGTTGTTTAAATGGTAGACTCTGTGCTCTGTTGTGTGTTGGGACTGTCAGGCACACCGGTGAGTTTGGTGACAGAGAGACACGGAGTGAGGTTCCGGAGCCGGCACTCCCTACTCAAGGCCGTTATGGAAGCAGACATCTTCTGATTCAGTGTCATCAGAACGTATCCCCACACCTGCACCCAGAGATGTCAGAACAAACCCCACACCTGCACAATGATGTCAGAAGAAACCCCACACCTGCACCCAGAGATGTCAGAACAAACCCCACACCTGCACAATGATGTCAGAACAAACCCCATACCTGCACAGTGATGTCAGAGCAAACCCCACACCTGCACAGTGATGTCAGAAGAAACCCCACACCTGCACCCAGAGATGTCAGAACAAACCCCAGACCTGCACAGTGATGTCAGAACAAACCCCACACCTGCACCCAGAGATGTCAGAACAAACCCCACACCTGCACAATGATGTCAGAAGAAACCCCACACCTGCACCCAGAGATGTCAGAACAAACCACACACCTGCGCAGTGATGTCAGAGCAAACCCCACACCTGCACAGTGATGTCAGAAGAAACCCCACACCTGCACCCAGAGATGTCAGAACAAACCCCACACCTGCACAGTGATGTCAGAACAAACCCCACACCTCACACTGCCCGATGCTTCGATTCCTCACTTCAAGACAGACAAGTCTAGTTCCAGACATACAAGTCTAGTTCCAGACTTACAAGTCTAGTTCCAGACATACAAGTCTAGTTCCAGACATACAAGTCTAGTTCCAGACTTACAAGTCTAGTTCCAGACATACAAGTCTAGTTCCAGACATACAAGTCTAGTTCCAGACATACAAGTCTAGTTCCAGACATACAAGTCTAGTTCCAGACTTACATGTCTTGTTTAAGACATACAAATCCAGTTCCATACAGACATGACTAGAGACAGATCTACAGGTATTTTTTTTGTCAAGGCATGATTCTGTGTACAAATGTATTCCAGTCATTTTGTGACAGCCACACGTCCTCTTTGCAAATTCATATCCTGTGTTTCCATATAGTGTTAATGGTTTTTAAAGGAATAACATTTAGATAATCACATCCGTTTTTTGTGTGAATAGGTCCTTAAGCAGCTCTCCAAAGTCGTCATCCCCTGCAAGGAGGTTTTGGGTAGGGGCGTCTCTAGTTGCTTTCATAACTGCTCCAAAATTGTGGCATGGCTCCAGACCCCGTTTCGCGGTGGAGTTGAAAACCTTCATCCCCACTGCCCAGAAATGTCCCGGTGCACCTTGGGATATCTGGCCTCTGGCTGAAGGAGCTGCTTGTTTGAGGGAGGGGGAGGAGGGAAGAAAGGGTCTAGGAAGTGAACTCCCTGTGGGGGACGAAGAACCACGTCCTGTTTCATATGCAAGGCACAGGCAGCGCCACGGCCGTCTGACTGAGAGCCATATCCAGGCTGTGGACAGCACAACAGCTGGTAGCCCCGCATATCAATGGACACAGCCAGAATAGGGGGTTCCACTATGGAAAACACACCAACTGACACTGCATTAAAATGCACAGCTGCCACCAGCTGGTGGAGTGTCGGGCTAACAGTGACATTGTGGATCGGCTGAGGACGTTTTTTTTTTGTGCTCGCCATGGCGCCCGCTGAGGTAGCTTCCAGTTGGATCTGGAGGTGTGTCTGTGGCCAGCCTGAACGCTCCGACAATATGTTACGCTGCTAGAATAAGTTACCAGTAGGCTGATTGAGAGAGCAGCTGGGATTCGAACCCAACACGTCATACACACAAAGCATGCACTCTACCAGTGAGCTACCAACTGCTCCTAACTTACCGCAAGCCGGAGCGCTGCTACAATAAGGACGCCGTCCACCCACGCAGTGCCTCCTTGTTTGGCCACAGAGTGCCTGCCTGTGCGGTCAGGTCACGGTGAGTCGGGCCGGGTCGGACTGGCCCGATGTTCTGAAGGATCATTGGGGTATTGACAGCCGACATGTTCCCTTGTCAAGGGCGTCTGAAGATCTACTCCTGTACCTCCCTGGGACAACTGGAAGAGGCTCCGTGTTCTCGTCTGGCTGCAGATCGGTTCTATTGACCGCCCAGTCGTCTGGCTGCAGATCGGTTCTATTGACCGCCCAGTCGTCTGGCTGCAGATCGGTTCTATTGACCGCCCGGTTGTCTGGACGCGGTCCGGCTGATTGATTGGGTTCAGCAGAGCTGTGTATTGGGAGATACTGTTTAGCCCGTGGGTTTGAATGGGCACACATCTGACTTTTAGTGCTTTCTAGCAGAAGTCTTAGTGTGCTTTGCTGAAAGCAGGGATTTCGTACTGATTAACAGATGCCACATCCACCACGGAGATAAGGGAGAGAAGGAAACCTTCCTTGAACAGTTTGGATGTTAATTGCTTTGTAGCTTCAATGGTATGCAAATGTGTGCCAATTACGTTTCTTATTTGAGTTAGCAGTTAAGTTCATGTGCGAAAAAAGCCTCGCGTAAATTATTTGTACTACTCATTTGCTCTGTTTTGTCCCCCGTTAGACGAAAACCCCCATAAAGGTGTAATTTGTTTCTTTTTTTGTTCGAACACTAAGACTAAACTCTTATTCGCATGGATATCAGTGGTAATTTGGCAGGAATCCCGGTTCTTTTCTGAGAAAACTTTAAAGGAGCCGATATGTTCTGAGATTATAAACGCATGAACGTTGTCCGCATGACTTCACAACGTGCGTTACCACCACAACAAACCATTAGGTGACACGCTCGATTGTGTGTTGTCTGGGAAATACTTCCTCAGAGTGTGCTAATGACACGGGAGCATTATTAAATGTGACTATATTTTTCATATATGATCAGGCAGAAGCTATTTAAATTTGCAGTCTTTTAAAGTTTGTCTGACGGGGCATCTCTCTCCATGTAAGGCCGGTTGTTCACTGGGTAGGCTTGTTAAAACCCAAAATCAGAAAGATACATATATTCTGTTGCAGAGTCTTGTTGTAACATTTTTATGTTTGATTTCTCAATTTGTTTTTAATATGGTTGTTACTCAGCGGTTTGGTTCTGACACATTATCAGTGAGTCTCAGCGGTTGGGTTCTGACACATTATCAGTGAGTCTCAGCTGTTTGGTTCTGACACATTATCAGTGAGTCTCAGCTGTTTGGTTCTGACACACTATCAGTGAGTCTCAGCTGTTTGGTTCTGACACATTATCAGTGAGTCTCAGCGGTTTGGTTCTGACACATTATCAGTGAGTCTCAGCTGTTTGGTTCTGACACATTATCAGTGAGTCTCAGCTGTTTGGTTCTGACACATTATCAGTGAGTCTCAGCTGTTTGGTTCTGACACATTATCAGTGAGTCTCAGCTGTTTGGTTCTGACACATTATCAGTGAGTCTCAGCTGTTTGGTTCTGACACATTATCAGTGAGTCTCAGCTGTTTGGTTCTGACACATTATCAGTGAGTCTCAGCTGTTTGGTTCTGACACATTATCAGTGAGTCTCAGCTGTTTGGTTCTGACACATTATCAGTGAGTCTCAGCTGTTTGGTTCTGACACATTATCAGTGAGTCTCAGCGGTTTGGTTCTGACACATTATCAGTGAGTCTCAGCTGTTTGGTTCTGACACATTATCAGTGAGTCTCAGCTGTTTGGTTCTGACACATTATCAGTGAGTCTCAGCTGTTTGGTTCTGACACATTATCAGTGAGTCTCAGCTGTTTGGTTCTGACACATTATCAGTGAGTCTCAGCTGTTTGGTTCTGACACACTATCAGTGAGTCTCAGCTGTTTGGTTCTGACACATTATCAGTGAGTCTCAGCTGTTTGGTTCTGACACATTATCAGTGAGTCTCAGCTGTTTGGTTCTGACACATTATCAGTGAGTCTCAGCTGTTTGGTTCTGACACAGCTGTTTATCAGTGAGTTGGTTCTGACACATTATCAGTGAGTCTCAGCTGTTTGGTTCTGACACATTATCAGTGAGTCTCAGCTGTTTGGTTCTGACACATTATCAGTGAGTCTCAGCGGTCTGGTTCTGACCCATTATCAAAGTAGTGTGTATACTGTGTATCTCTCTCTCTCTCTCTCTCTCTCTCTTTCTCTCTCTCACAGCTCACAGCCCGTCCCCTTCTTTCATTCATTCCACACACACAAACACACCTCCTCCACCAACATAAGTCCCTGGGGAGTAGCACCAATCCTCTACTCTGGAAAAGGGAGCAAAAAGAGAATGAGAGAAGTTCAAGCCCCCATCACAAGCCATTGTCTGCGCTGCTCCTCCCACCGGCCCCCTCCCACCGGCCCCCTCCCACCGGCCCCCTCCCGCCTCCTCCCTCCCGCCTCCTCCCTCCCAGCCGGCCCCACAGTCAGTGGGAGGTGTCTGCCCATGACATATTGAGGAGCGTGCTTTATGGTCTGAGAGGGCTGGTGGGCTGGACATTAATATCCCTGACAGTCTAAGTAAGGCTCTGAACGCCCTGGGGTTTCCTCTGAAGGACAGCAGGAGGAGAAGGATGAGGAGATTCATGGGTCTCCTTCTACGCCTCCCCAACGCGCAAAATGGGCTACTGAATATGTCGTAACAACAGGAAGTGCCGTTGTTGTGGTTATGTCGCGCCACGCCGAAGAGCCACGTGACTTCTGTTTATCCGGTTGCAATTCGATGACTCGTAAAACACGTCAAGTTGTGAACGGCACTGTCTGTTTTTTTTGGTTGCACAGTGTTCATTATTGATGTCTGTGAAGGCCTCCGTGTTTATTTAATGAGACAGAGCGTTTGCTGGAGCACTCGGGCGTCTGAAATATTCATCCGTTCATAGAGGCCATACCCGGTACTGCATCTGGCCACACGCTCATGTTACATATGATTGGCTCAACTGCTGCAGGGCTCCCATCAGCCAATCAGCCAATAAACCCATCAGCCAACCAGCCAATCAATGAAAGTCAAATATTTATTGGGCCTAGTTTTGATTGGTCAGGCCTGGGACCTGGAATGTATGTCCATGTGGCGTGTGAACGTGAAGAACCAATGAAAAGCCCTAGATTTGGAAAACCAACAGCACTTGGTTCTGAGTGGGGATCTCCTCCAAAATACCTGGCAGCCACATGGACTTAGTGCCAGACATGGAGGTGTGTGTGTGTGTGTTCACACCGGTTTCTGTCACCGCCCCGCTCAGAATGGGCACTGTTTGATTTGCCTCACGGCCTCATATCGCAGTATATCAAGAGGCTACAAATTAGGCGCCAGCATTTTCTCACGTACATCCGCGCGTGTGTGTGTGTGTGTGTGTGTGTAAAGATAGATTCAGTGTTTGACGGACCCTGATGGTACAGTAGTGGCATGTCTGGTATGCAGCTCTCTTTCTCCCTCGCTCCCACGATCTCTCTTCCTCTCTCACTTTCACTCCGTTCTTCCCTTCCTCTCTCGCTCTCTCTACCCCCTCGCTCTCTCTCCCTCTGTTTCTCACTCTCTCTTTTTGTGCCCCTCTATCTCTCTCTCTCTGTCTGTCTCTGTCTGTCTCTCATGGCCCAGTTACAGAGTACGTGTCTGTCGTTGGCGCAGACTGGCACACAGACACGTACCCATGGCCAAAGCACCCACTATGAATGACTCAATTGTTCTGGGGCGTTGGAGAGCACTGGAGAACCCACCTCTGTTTGTGATGGAACGATAACCGTCAAACGTGTTGGTGCACCGGTGAACTACGCGTTCTCCTCCACATTCTCTCCACGTTCTCTCCTCCACGTTCTCTCTGCGTTCTCTCCTCCACATTCTCTTCTCTAGACGCTGTGTCTCATTCACATATAGAGCGTCTGTCGTGTCTCATTCACCTATAGAGCGTCTGTCGTGTCTCATTCACATATAGAGCGTCTGTCGTGTCTCATTCACCTATAGAGCGTCTGTCGTGTCTCATTCGCATATAGAGCGTCTGTCGTGTCTCATTCACCTATAGAGCGTCTGTCGTGTCTCATTCACATATAGAGCATCTGTCGTGTCTCATTCACCTATAGAGCGTCTGTCGTGTCTCATTCACATGCTCTGTGGCAGTGGAAATTAATTTGCTAATTATGACAGAGAGGCAGTAAAACCCGTAAACATTTTCAACAGGACGCGTTAGTTAAATGGTATGAATTGATGACTCTCGTCCTGGCGATCCATCCTGTGTGGGTTTACTGTTGGGAACACGGCTGTGTGTAGAAGATAGCAGGTTGCCGGGAGAGATGGAGGGACAGACAGAGAGAGAGAGAGAGAGAGTGATAGAGAGAGAGAGAGTGATGGAGAAAGAGGGAGTGAGGGCGGCAGAGAGAGAGAGAGAGGGACAGAGAGAGAGAGAGAGAGAGAGAGATGGAGAAAGAGGGAGTGAGGGGGAAAGAGAGAGGGGCTCAGAGAGTGAGAGCAGTGAGGCTTTATTGGCAGTGCTGTCTGGGAGAGACAACCCCTGTGTGAGACTGGGACCCTCTTTGTAAGGCGGGGGTGTCTGCCCTTTGTCACATGACCTCCCCGCCTCCCCCTCCAAAAAATTATGACCCCTGTTACCTCTTTTGGCTCGCGTGAGCCAATAAGATGCCACGAAGCAGCTCCCAAAGGCAGCCTGTGACAGGGTCCCACTGACCACATGTGTTTAGAGCATCTTGACACCCGTTGACGGTTTGGCCAGTTCACCGTGAAGGCCTCTGTGTTCTGCCGTGACGACTGAGTTTTTAGATGGTTCGCTTCACAGGGAGGTCTTTTTCAGCCCTCAATAATCAAATGTTTACCTAGCCAAATATCCAGGAGACACAAGGCAGCATTTGAATAGGAATGGCCTATTCTTCCTCATTTGGTG